AAAGTAGTGTTGAGGGAGTAGCTTGAGTTGAGGGTGGGACTTTAACACATTGATTATGATTTATTAATCAGAAAAAAATTGACGCGTTAAAAACAGTCACACATTTAATCACAACTTGCATTTCAAGCAAGGCAGAACCTTTGTTATTGCATAATTTTCCCACACACCGAATATGACTGACACACACAATGCACGGTGCTCTGCTAACAGCTATTTAAACAGAATAATTTGAAGAAATTGCCTTGCTTGGACTGATGCAGCATTTGGGAAACACGTCAGCCTCTTTTCTTAACTTGTTAAGAAAAATAAATAATAATGTCCTGAAACTACGGAGTCTGTGTCAGAGATCATCTCTGATCTCTGCTCAGGGTTCCTACATTTTCATCAAGTTAACTTCAAGACTTTTTAAGACCCTTTCAAGACCACATATATAAAATATTAATAACTATTTCACAGCCCTACCAGCAAAAAAAAAATCACTAACACAAAATGTTAGGCATGCTTGATATTGGCTTTTTTACCAATATTTGATACACCAAAATTGCCTGACTCTTAATCACCCATACTGATATAAACCGATACTAATATTTTTGGGGTCCCCTTGTCAAAAAAAAAAAAAACCTAAAACATTTTAGGTTACCAACATCATATTTCTCCAATCCTGCACGCTTACATTTTAAATATTTTCTGTGCAAAATGCCAACTACTTGCATTCAAGTTAGTAAGAGCAAAAGTGCCATATTTATTTAGTCTCCAACAGCAGCTGAATCTTAGTGTGGCGCTAAGATGTGGTTAATAGCTAGTAATGTATTGTAACGCCAACCAGGAAATGAGTCACAGAAGAGAGATTGTTGGTTACGTATTGTAACCCCAGATTCTATGAGTCTAGTCGCAGCCCTTAAGCTAGCTGCTATTGGAAGGATGATCTCAGCATCAGCCAATCATGAAGAGCTTAAATGTATGCCCACAAATGGTGGGCACCCCTGTGGGTATATAAGTGGAGCGACTCCACTGTTCGCCTCCAATGGCTCTTAGTCCTAACAGAACCAGTGGGGCCAGTGGCTTAAGGGCTGCGACTAGACTAATAGAATCTGGGGTTACAATACGTAACCAACATTCTATTTCGTCTAGTTTTAGCCCTTAAGCTAGCTGCTATTGGAATAATGCGCAGCTGGATGGGTTTATGCCACACTGATTAAATCAACCAATGGACACACCCAACATGTCTCCTTTTAGCGAGGGTCGCTCAGCCTCAGCCCAGGGCTTAAAAGGCCGAGGAAGCCAGAGAGAAGAGTGGGGCCCCCACTAAAAATATCATCCACAAGAGGATGAAAATCATTCAAGTAGGGCTGATGTGGTGCCATAATGCTTTCACTCAGCCTGCTGAGGTCCAAGCACTGAACGAGTGATGAGTCCTGAAGACACATCTCGTAAATAATAACGAGTAAAGGAACAGGGTGAAGCCCATGAAGCAGCCGGACAAATGTCTTCCATCGACACACCACTGTGGAGCACCATAGAAGAGGAAATCGCTCTGGCTGAGTGAGCCCTGAGTGTCTCAGGAGGATCCCGCCCTGATGAAATGGCATCACATAGCCAGTGTGAAAGAAGCTGGGTCGACAGCGCTTGCCCAAGGGAAGAATCTCTGTAGTGCACAAACAGGCTTTGTGAGCGGCGAATCCCTGAATTGCGTGACACATATCGGGCGAGCGCGCGCACAGGGCAGAGAAGGTGGGAAACCGCCTCCTCATCAGAATTATGGGGAGGAGGAAAAAGTCCAGCCAATGAAAATGACCTGGATTTGAAGGAAGTATTAATGTTTTTTGGCACAAAGGCTGGGTTGGGGCATAAAACAGCAGACCCGCCATCTTCCCGGATCCTGAGACATGTGGGAGCCACTGAGAGGGCGGTTAGGTTGCTCACTCTCTTGACTGATGCCAGCGCCAGCAGCAAGGCAGTTTTGAGTGACAGGAACTTGAGTGAGACCTGGTCCAAGGGTTCAGATGGGGCTTCAGATAAGCCGCGCAGAACCACCGTTAGGTCCCACTGGGGAAATAGCGGGCGGGAAACAAATCTGTTCCTCCTGACACCATCTAGAAAACGTTTTGTGAGGGGATGATTGAAAACAGATCTATCTCCAAAACCCTGGTGACAGGATGAAATAGCTGCAGCACATCTTTTAATAGTGCTGAATGCGAGGCCCCTGTCCATCAGCATCTGCAGAAATGATAGGGCATCCGCCAGCTGGCAGGAGAGCGCTTGAGCATTCTGCTCTGTGCACCATTTCTGGAAAGCTGCCCATTTAGCAGCATAAGATGTGATGGTAGAAGGCGCCCGCGCACTTTGAATCGTGGCGGCCACATCATGCGGCAGCCCAGAAGCCTCTAAGCGTGACCGCTCAGCGGCCAGACCCACAGCAGTTGGCCTATTTCTGGAGGATGTTTGATTATCCCATCCGCCTGGAGAAGGGCGTCTGCCCTCCACGGGGAGCCGGACACTAGCGCTTGTAGGTCTGGAAACCATGACCCGGACAAGCGTCTGGGAGCTACCAGAATTACCGAGAGCTGTTCTGACTGAACTCGGTCCAGGA